AACAAGATCATCAGCTATATCAGACTTTCGTACAATCTCTGTTGATGGAATGTCTCAACATCTGGTTGAACATCAGATCCTTGAAGTAGACAAAGCAGATCAGGGGCCTGATGCTTGTGCAACAATTGATGAGACACCTTGATCATCAACTAAGGATAATCCATTAAATATTTGAGAATATCTCAAATTGCAATGAATCTTAAAGCCTTATAATAAGTCCTTCTATGAACTTCAACAATCTTGAACTTCATGGATAACCAATTAAATACGTGTGTAGTCCACAAATAGCAATTGATCTTAAATCCATGCAACTTCAAGAATACCAAGGCTGAAACATCAAGGCTGACACCCTTGACTCAACCTGCCTATGACTTCCTTATGCTAATAGAGCTCTTGCAAATCATGAATGGTGAAAATAAATCACCTCCCATTATACCATCTACCAGAGATCTTCAGAAATCCATGAGAACCAGATTATCTCCCTGAAAGAGCTCTTCTCTTCAAATTGACTTCAGGATACATATATCAACACACAACTGAACAACCCAAGAACACAAGCAACAACCCAGACACATAAGCAACAACCCAGGCACACAAGTAACACAACTACAACATTTAGCAAATTGCCACAACCATACATCAAACTGTATATAAGCCAATCTTCTCCCAAGGCTACCAGAGTTCTTTCATCAAAAAAATATGCAGCGAAACCACCAAAAGAACATATTTAACATGCCCTAAACAAGATGTCATAACATCTTATAGAACATCATACAGAAGAAACAACCACTCCTCCTGCAGTTGTTGTAGACACTCCTATATCAAAAAGCACAGCAGCAGATACACAGAATCCTTCAAAAACAGGAGTAAGCACAAACTCCCCCTTAACTCCATAAGCAGCAGCTCAAACATTTGGCAAGATCAGCAAATCAACTACCACTTCTCCTTGTTCAAAAACACTAGAAAGTATGTCCCAAGATCTCATTCAGAACAAACAGGATGCTTGCTCTGATACCAATTGATATTCTGGTGTGCAGATCTCAGATGTCCAAAGAACATTGATCTTTGCTAAAACAGAACAAGGACAAAACATGACCATTTTAAACCCCTTTAAAATTTAACAATGTCATGACGTCTGTTGTAACATCTGCAGACAGACAGAACTTATTTATCTAACCATTTAAATTGTTCAGAATTGTAAATGCTGAAAGATAAATAACACAATGAATTGTTAACCCAGTTTGGTGCAACATCACCTGCATCTGGGGGCTACCAAGCCAGGAAGGAAATCCACTATTAGCAGAATCAATTCAGAGCTAAACTCCCCCATTTACAACCCCTCACTTAATCTCTACCCAATGCGATTTCTTCCTAGAATCCACTAGATAAGAGACACCTATCACTCCCCACAATCACAACAGTGATAAACAATTCAATACAAAATAAGACTTTAGAAGGCACTCTTCAAAGTCACAATACTTGATTTTGCTTAACAACTTCACTCAAGTATAATACACTACTGCTTAAAAGCTTTGAGTGAACAAATAACAGCCTACACATGTCTACCACGATGCATCCAAATATACAAAGGGTGACTTACAAGGTCACACACAAAAGACTCCCAAAACCCTAAACCTTAATTTTACACTCAAGTTTTTCTTGTTGTGAGTGCTTTTTTTCTCTTGCTTCTGCGCCTCCTTAAATAGCAATGTAGATTGGGCTTGGGCTGATAAAAAATAACATAAATTAGGTTTAACCAAGTTAGCCTAATTTCCATAATTTAGATGCTGCGAATTAGGTCACAGCTGCTTCATGTTATGCCCAACCCTAAATAGAATCTCGCCTGAGATAACTAAGGAGTCATAACAGGTTTCCTGAAGTATAACCTGAGCTTCCTCTTTCAATATAACAGTAAACCTAAACACGCGCCCTGATGTCATACACTTGATGTCATAACATCCAGCATGACATCCAACACACTTTGTTCTTAGCTGACCAAACTCACCCTGCAGTACATTCCTGCATAATCTTCTTCATAACAGTAGAAACAAATATACTATAGTTTCCTAAAAAGTCTCAGAGATCCTTTTTATGAACACCAATTAAATCTGCATTTTCATGTTATGAATATCTTTGACCTGCACACACTTGATGAGATATATCCAACAAGATCTCATCAAACCAGACCACTTTTGTTAAGTGATATAAAAGAGCAGCTCTTGCTGTACCAGAAAACGATGTCATGACATTGGTAATGACATCCTGATTAAAACACATGACAGCAGTACTGTCATAACAGTAGATTTGGATGTTATGACATCTTGCTTAACATCAGTGTAGAATCATGTTTTACCAAAATTTATCCAATCATAGAACCATGGACAATCATAGAAACATGGAACTAACAAAGGGATGTAACCTATCCCTCACGGTCGAGCCATATGGTTGATGGTCGAAGCCAAGGCGTTGCGTGAATTGTATGATGGCCCAATGGCCATTGCATTGTACTAAAAGTTTACATATTAGTATGAAGACCAACCATTATCGATATTGGCATTCCATATGAGTACTCTCTATTATTTATTGGCATTGAGAACCCAAATAAAGGCCTTGAAACAACAGGGTTAAAAAGAGTATTCGATAGCTACGTTGGGGGTGTTATCCCCCGTGATGGTACCGGTGCAACATGCGTTGGCGATACCACTGGGGCAGTTATTCTAACAGGCATTGAAATAACTGCCTCTTTAATCATCGATTCGACTGGTTGTTCTACTACATTTTGAGGATTATTCTATGAATTGATGTTATTTATAAGAGGGCGCGTTATTTTTGGTAAAGATTTTCCACTTCTTAAACGCATACAAACTACTCAGAACAATTCATGTATGCAGAACAAGTTTATAAGAGAAAAGGTATGAATATCTATGAACGACAAAGATCTTAGCACATGCAACACTAGGTGTGCCAATTTGTTTACTACAAAATTTGGTAAACAATCGCTAGTCTTTTATTAAAGGTTACTTGCAGGCTCAACTAAAGAATCCTAGGACATAGTGCTAAAGACTTTGCTTTATAGTTTTAGTAGAAATGAGAATGATTTCAACTTGGTCGAAATAGTTATGAAAAAGATGTGAAACGTAATTTCGACAGTTTTAAAAGGCAAGGATTTTGTAAAGCAGAGGTAAAGTAATAATGCAATTACAGTAAAGATGAAAGTAACTGGGAAGAAATCATAAACTGAAAGGAAAAACTTTGCATTTAAATGAAAATAGTGTTTCAAGATTCATACATTGTCTCAGTGAAACTCTTTTCTCTAACGCTGGCACTTTAAATATTTATGAGATTTTATAGTGAAATCAAATGAACACACCTCGAATCCTAACATTAGAATCCCTATAAATACATGTGTAAAATAAATGATTCCTGACATTCGTCTCTCTAGCTTTCGCCACGTAAACTCTTGCATGCATTTCGCCTATATGTTCACTTCACGTGTCTTTTGAGATGAGAATGAGAAGTAGTTATTTAATTTGAATAAAACCCTTCGTGCCCAAATAACTACTGATTCAGAGCATCTTGCTGTCGTCAAAAACCCACATTATTATGTCAAAGCCTTGAATCATCATGCCGTCGAAATGTCAAATGAGATACTTTTTTCCCTAAAAAATACCAAGTGCCATTTTTCCTCCTTTTGAGACTTTGACCAAAACATTTTAGCAAAAGTCTAATTGACTTAACTTTTCTTGAACTTTTCATTTGCACCGAGATTTTTTCCCTTGTCGAAAATCCAAGCTAACACCATGACAGTCAATTACATATAATTTTGGCATTTTGCTTTCATGTTTTGAAAATAATTAGAGAACTTTTGGAAGTGTGAGAAAAAGATGAAACAACAAACCAAAGAGAAATAATAGAAACAGAAAACATCAACCATCACAAACATTCACTAATTCAACATTTTCATAAACCTTCACTCATTCAAAATCCACCGTATAAAGAAAAAACGAGAACCTGGACAAAAAATCAAACAAAAACAAAACCTCAATTCACTAAAACGCCAAAATAGAATAAAAAACATTGAAACTAAAAATACATAACCTAATGCAGATCAACAAAGCGGGAAAGGACATGAAATTGCTAGAAAACTACATAGAACACCCAATTCTCTCTCTCACAGCCGCATGATTACCCTCCGATCAACCCACCACTAATCCATGCATCAACCACCCCTCCCTTTTAGATTGCCGCACCACCCCACAACCTTCGTGAATCACATCTTTGTGTCACTGGTCTCTGTGTGTGCGTCTTCCATTCTCAAAGTTGCATAGTACCTTCATCCCTCTCATTGATTTTGATTGTTTAAAAAGAAAGTGTAACATAAGAGAATAGAGGAAAACGATTTTGAGAAAGAACAAACAAAAACTATTAACTAAGAGAGAAACACACTGAGAATAATTGTGAAAATTTTAAAAAAATAACAGTTTTATTTTTAAAAACAAACCTTTTAATTTCTATTGTGACTTTTCAATTGATACGAGGAAAACATACCTTTATTCCAATAATGAAAAAAAAGTTAAAAAGCCATAGTTAAATTAGGTTAATAAGTAAAAATATGTTAAATGTATTTTGTATAAAATATCTCTACTTATCACTCAATTTGAACTAAGCTTAAAAAAAATGTTTGTGGTATTTTAATAAGACATTTGTTTTTATAGATAAATATTAGATCAAACACACATACTTCAAATCTTTAAATTTTCTTGACATACTTATCACATTCTCAAAAAGAACTTATTAACATTAATTCTTTTAAAAGATTGGTCAACACAATTGTTTTTTTCTAATAAATAACATTAAAAAAAATACGGGCACAGTTACTTTCGTACCCGCAGTCGGGGTCACGCGCTTACACTCGCTTATATTACTGTAGCTGCTATTCTACTTTCCCACTACGAATTCATTTGCTTCGAAAATTGAGAAAGTGAGAGAGAGAGACTGTGATGAGGGAAGAGGTTATCAGCTCCGGCGGTACTGTCGATCCCACACCTGCTGCTAGGTACGGTTTTCTTCCTCAAACTTCCGTGCGAGCGCTAAAATTTTATCAAATTAGGGTTTCGTTTTGGTTCAATTTTAAGATTTACGTTACCTCTGTTTTCAATTTTCTCGAATAGATTAGATATATATTGTTGAATTGGATGGTGAAATGTTAGGATATTGTTGTCATTGTTAATTGCTGCTTGAGAATTAGATCTATTTGTGTCAGGTAGTAGATATATGCATTATGCATCACTTTACTCACAGCGTAGTTCATTTGTGTTTTGTTCTTGATGAATTTTACTACACTTGTTAATTGCCTGTGTTACTGTGTATGTATGTGTCTTTTATATTGAATTAATCTTGTTGGACATGGATCGTGTCATATGGAAATAGTGTTCTCTTAACTTGGATTGGAAACAATGAAGAAACGTCATCGTATTTGTACCTTGCTGTTATTTAAGTCATTCAGCTATTACTATTTCTGAAATTTTTTGCCCACATGAAGTTTTTCATTTTCAGGTTACTAGCTCAGTCTTCGATTATACCAAACTAAGTAGCCTAGGTGGCATTACTCAGTCTTCGATTCCCCTCGCCCGACTAAATGTTGTTATTTATTGTTCCATAGGCATGAATCAACATAACCTAGCTTTTATAACGGCCTTACCATATATTAACTTTGGGACTTCCACCTGAGTCTAGATTCTCATGTATTCTGTTTCCATGGTGTAAAATGGAAACTTTCTTAAATTTTTATTTATTTGAACTTAATGCATATGTGATGATTTATGGCTGAAGAAGGTTAAGGTATTTTTAATGAACATTCAATTGTCTTGTCTAAATGTTGTTCATTTGACGAACTTTCTCAAATGACTAATTATTCATTCATTTTGTTAGTTCGGCTGGGGCATCCTCCCCAACTGTTCCAATGAATGTTGGCAGCATAGATGGGTCAAATCATGGGCAAGGCTCTAAAGCTGCTTCTATATCATGTGTTGGTTCGCAACCACCCTGGACTTCTGTGAGCACAAGCATCGGTGGTTCTACTTTTGGTTCCTCAAGATCTTCATGTAGGCCTTGGGAAAGGGGAGATTTATTAAGGCGTTTGGCTACTTTTGCTCCTTTAAATTGGCTTGGCAAGCCTCAGGTTTGGATTGACCATAGTCTTATATAAATAAATATTACTTTAGTCACAAACAGCTCACACATACAATTTAAACTAAAAACTAGTCATTAACCTTGGGATAGTTTTTGTTTATACTTATAATTCATAAAGCAAACTTAGTCTTTTGCAAGTTGCAATATAAATGAAATCATTATTATGTATGATTTTTCGTTTTGTTATGAATGGTATATGGCTTCTTTCTTCTCAATTCACATGGTCCATTGTTATCAGGATTATAGTTTACCCATAGTGTTGTATCATATGGTTTTTGTAGGCTCATCACGCTGGATCATTACCTAGATCACATTTGTATACAATCATAGTGGGATTTCCAATCTTCAGTGCAAAGTAGTGAGATCACCAAACTTCTGCTATCCTGAATGTACAGATTTGAGTTTTGGGTTCCACGGCCCAGTTTGAAAAAAATACATATTTCCCCTTATTCTTGATGTTGTTCTACAAACCATCATCTGTGATCTACTGATCTACCTGTCCCTCTCTTAATCACGATCTCTACTTCGCATCTCCTCCCTCTATCAATCACGACCCTTGCATCCACATTTCTCCCTCTCTTCTCTCTTTTCTCTCAAGCACAGCGACTGTGGCGTCCCTTTTTTATCTCCATCTTCTTCTTTCGATGCATTTCCTCCCCCACCCTAAATTTGTTTTCTGCCATGATCATGTGCGTTTGTATGTCTTTTGCTGAGAGGTACTGTGTAGTTATGCTTCTAGACTCAAGTGCAAGCTAATGGGTGTATAGATATATGTATATTCATAAAATTATATTTGTAATAAGGTAGAATTTTATGCTCTATTAGATACTTAAGTTTACGTCAAAGTTTTATGCTAGTGAAACATTTAGTAAGCTAATTTACTTACAAAAAAAATCATATTTTAAAAGTTGAAAATGTTCCCAAATTAATAAATTTTCTTTCTTAATATGGTGTATATGTCTACTTATGATTGCGAGTTTTCAATTAAGTTTTATTTTTGTAATTTCAAGGTTATTTTGCTTATCAATGTTTTTTTATCCACGTGTAATGTATATGCTTAAGAAAGCTCTGAAAATTTCTCGATCTCCAAGGAAACCAGGTTATTCCTCAGTGGAATTTTTTTCTTCTTCCAAACGCTGGTTTACTTAGATTTTCGATATGCAACTTGTATTAACACTCAAGTTCTGGAAGGACATATGGGCTGGGAATATTTCTTCACAAAAGTATTTTGCTTCATATTTCTCCAATTTTTTTCTTCCCTTTGACGGGTTTATTTCTTCATATATGGGCTGGGAATAAACTGGTTTCATGGTCTGTATATACTTTATATTCTTTTTAAGCAGTTGTCAGATTGTTAGCTAACTAATTGAGTAAATAATATAAATATCATTTGATGTAGTTGAAAGTTTGGCATTATGCATGATTATTTTTTATGTTTCACCAAGTGTTGCTTACTTATTTGTCTGAGAAGAAATTCCATTTAATAATGTCACATTCAAATGAAATTATTGCCATAGGAAATTATCTTGATCTGTGCAGCTTAAGCTATAGAGTATGTGTAGATAATATTATGTTTTATGTGATAGTCCCAAATCCCAATGTTTTTACTACATAAGAGGCAGTCTTCAGGGATCTCATGTCCTTCTCAATTTCTTCCAGATCATCAGTTCATTGGCTTGTGCTCAGAAAGGTTGGACAAATATTGGTGAGGAAAAAATTGCATGTGAGTCATGTGGTGCCTGCCTGAATTTCTCATCATTGTTATCTTGGACAAGTGCCCAAGGTTGGTGCTTGCACATTTGCAATTTAAATACTTTCAGCTATTCTATCCTGATTCCAAACTTCATTGTTCTCTAAAATGAGGCATGCTAAAGTAACTAGGACTTAGGATAATTAAGAACATCCAATACCAAAAAAAGTCATATTTTGTTTATATAGAGTACATGGAGAAGTCAACACGATGAAAAGAGGAGCTTTGAATAAACCATGGGATGAGATTTATTGCATTAAAACCAAGTGTTTTTACCTTCATAGGAATACTATTATTAATTTGTTAATCCTCCAGAAGTAAAGAAAGTCATTCCTAATTTAGTGCATCGAGTAGAACATTAGCAGCAGCAATACAAGGTTCCGTTAGTAAAGAATAAACTTAGCTCAATGCAGTGTAATTTTTTTCTATGAAATTCAACTCAAGGTATAATACATATTAGTTTGTCAACATGTTAGACTGTTTTTTATAGGATTGGATGAATCTTTTTTTTTTTTTTGGTGTTCAGCTCATGTCTCTATCAAGGTAATGTTATTTCTGATATGCAAAGTGACCGGGCTTCATTCTCGCACTTTTAAGTGTATCCCCTTTGTTCCGTTTCTATTTATTCATTTTCATGTCTTGGAGCACGCCAGTTTCATTTTCTGGTCTTTCATACATTTTATCCCACTAAAATATGTTTAAAATTAGATGAGTTCTACATATCAACGCGAGAATGTCCCATCAATACTCCACATCAAATTTGCTAGTTTTTTGTAGGGATTCGGTTGTTATTGTTGCAGTTAACATGCATTTATTGGAATAGTCGTATCACTTTGTTCCAAGGTTCCTAACTTCCTATAGCATGTATAATAAGACTACAAACAAAAATATAGTTAGAAGGGGAATTATGAGTTGTGCATACAAAATAGATTTATAATCTGCATTTAAGCAACTCAAGTTTTGTTCCAAACCTCTAATGATTCGAGATATTTTTTGTTTTTATACATTTTATATAATCTTGTTTTGAACATGTTTGTCAAACAAGCTTTAGCTGATAACTTGGATAAAGAAACTTTTCTGTTGATGCTGATTATGTTCATCATTTGTTTTAACTTATTTTGTTAATGTACTGGCCAAAGCTCAAGATGCCAGTGAATCCTTTGCCAGGAAGCTGGATTCAGGGCATAAAGCTCATTGCCCTTGGAAAGGAAACAGCTGTCCAGAAAGTCTAGTGCAGTTCCCTCCGACTTCTCAATCTGCCTTAATTGGTGGCTACAAGGATAGATGTGATGGACTCATGCAATTTCACTATCTTCCTGTGGTAGCAATCTCTGCAATTGAGTTGATGAGTGTTACTCGAGGCCCACAGATTGAGCGCTTTCTATCACAGTCTCAAAACTTTATGTCAGGAGTAGACTTTAAGCCTGATAATATATCAGAGCTGGAAAGCTCTCAGGATGAGGCATACTGCTCATTTACCCGTGTAAGACATTTTCATTTTTTATTTTTATTAGTAGTTTGTCTCGTACATCTGTTGCTATTCTGTCTGCTTATTTTTTATTCGCGTGCCTTCCTTTTGTCAGGCTCAGAAGCTCATAAGCCTTTGTGGGTGGGAACCAAGATGGCTCTTAAATGTTCAAGATTGTGAAGAACACTCTGCTCAATCTGAAAGAAATGGAAATTCTTTTGGTCCAAGCAAGACTCAACTACGTCTTACTCAAGATCCAGGGCCAAAAGCAGTTTCTACTTCTACTAAAATGGATGCCAGGAAGGGAAAAGCATCTCTTAAGGAGTCTAGACTTGACTATAGGTCACCTATGCTTGATTGTAGCTTATGTGGTGCTACAGTTAGAATTCTGGATTTTCTGACTGTTCCTCGCCCGAGTCGTCTTGCACCCAACAATATAGATAACCCTGATACCAGTAAAAAGATAGGATTAACTCGTGGAGGAAGTGCAGCTAGTGGAATCAATGGTTGGATTGCAGCTGATGATGCAGAGAAAGATCAGGCTGAAGATCGTGATGAAGTTGCAACAACAAATGAGAGGAAAACGTTGGCAAACACAGATTTGGATTTAAACCTTACTATGGCTGGAGGTTTTCATTGTCCCCCTTTTGGTAGGACAGCAACATCTGAAAATATTCATGATGTAGACATGGGAAGAGATTTAATGATTGGTCAACCTTCAGGGAGTGAGATTGGTGATCGTGCAGCTTCATATGAATCACGAGGGCCAAGTTCTCGTAAGAGAAATCTTGAAAAAGGGGGAAGCTCAGATAACAGGCCAGCTCTTAGGTTGCAGCATCAGGCAGATAGTGTTGAAGGAACTGTCATCGACCGTGATGGTGATGAAGTTACTGATGGTGGACAATATTCAGCTGGTCCTTCAAAACGTGCACGTGAGTCTGATTTTTTTGACACTTATTGTTCACCTCATCAAAGAGATTCATCTGGCGCTGGTCCTAGCCATTCATTGGGTCTTGAGGGTTATGTTGCTGGCAATCGAGTTTCTTCATTCCATCAAGGTAGTGATCGCTTAATAGGAATCCAGTCTACTAGAGACTCAAACCGTGCATCATCTGTCATTGCAATGGACACAATATATCATAGTATAAATGATGATTCTATGGAAAGTGTTGAAAACTACCCTGGAGACCTTGATGATGTCCATTTCCCCTCCTCTAGCACCTATGGCAATGTTGACATGAATGAAACCTCTGAGCTGAATAACAGCATTCAAGCTCAGCAAAGCACATGTTTACAAACAGCAACTGAAGTTGTCCCTGGTGAAGTGGGAGTCAGCAGTACAAACTATGGGGATGGGATTTTTAATGCAGAAACTGTGACTGCTCATGCTCGAGATGGAATTAGTCTTGGCATTAGTGGAGGGAGTGTTGGAATGTGTGCTAGTCATGAAGCTGAAATCCACGGGGCAGATATATCTGTACACAGAACACATAGTGTTGTTGGTGAAATGGAACACAGGGTAGAAGATGCTGAAAACCAGGGACAGACTGGTGAATCTGTTCCAAATCCAGGTCTAATGGATGAGGTCATCCCAGATGATATAAACAGAGACTATCCTGTTGGTGATAGCCAGGAGATGATGTCTCACTCTGCAGGAAGGGCAGACAGTGGGTCAAAAATTGGTTGTTCTGCAAAGGCAGAATCTGTTGAAAGTGGTGAAAAGATTAGTCAAAGCTGCAAACTTCCTCCTGCTAATAACAGTCGTCCATCCCAATCTTGCAATGCCATTATCTATTCAGACTGTGGAAATACTAAGGAGATCATGAAGGATGGTAAATCATCATTCAGCAATAATTGTGCTCTAGTTCAATCAGATTTTGCCACTGCAAACCGGATAGGTAAGCACTATATTAGATAACTAATCTTAAGACATTCTAAAGTAAGAAACCAATCCTATTAGATAATTAATATAAGATTAAGATATCATATTGTATTTTTGTATCACCCAACTGGACCAGAAGAGTTCCATGCAACATGGAGTTGAACTAATAACTTTCAGTTACAGCTGTTCAGAAATAGTATTATTTATTTGGATTCCTTCTATTTGCAATTTCTGTCGCTAGGCTATCTTCTTTTGGTTCCTGGGCCTTTTAAATATTTTCTCAATACTTTGTTTAGATCTTGATGGGTGGGTCTCTCCTGTTCCCCTTTATCAGTTGGTACATATTTTTGTGGCAAAACCATTGACATTGTTCATTATTTAGGTCCCCCTAAAGGAGAAAGTAACTATGAAGAAGCTGTAGAATTTGATCCTATTGTCCATCACAACCCGTGTTGCCCTTGGGTAAACGGAAATGTTGCTGCTGCTGGCTGTGCTAGTTCTGTTCCAATCACTAGTAGTGATACCATTGTACTCAGCGGTTGGCAGTTGACTTTGGATGCTTTGCAATCACTAGGGAATGTAATTCCGACGGTACAGTCTGAGTCTGCTGCATCTTTGTACAAGGTTTGTTTGTCTTACTCCTTATTTGGTTTCTCCATCTTTTATCCTGCCATGAATTTCTTTTATTGTCTTCAATAAATTGGAAGCTTGATTTTTCTTTTGCAAACTACTTTTTCAGTGATTACATCATTTGCCAATTGTTAGAATACAACTTTTCTTTTTCATACATTACATATGTCCAATTTGATTTATGGTTGTTCTTAAAAAAAGAGAGGATAAAAGATATGGAGTATTATTATTATTGCTTGTAAAAATTACTGTTCTTACAAAAAAGAGGATAAAAGGTCCAAATTAATTGTTAATGTTTCTAATTAAATTATTTCATAAGCGTTTACATTGATTAATTTTCATGTGTTTATGTTCAATCACTTGAATGTGTTTAGCAGAATGACCAGCAAGCACCTCGTAAAAAACTTCTACACAACCACTCCATTAGCAAAAGTCATGGTCAACCCTGAGATTTTGTTTGGAGTATTTGGTATTTCCATTTCCTTGTAAGTGAGTTATTTCATAGGTTATTTTTAAAAAAATATAAACAATGTGGTTTTACTTTACATTTTTCAGCTCAATCTCTGCTATGCACTGCTTTCTCCAACTATGTTGTTGTCCTAACATTTTGCAGGATTCTAGGTATATTTATCCGAACTACATAAGGTATTTCTAGGCGTATTTCAAAGCCATGGTGTTTGTCAGGTTGTAGCAGACATGTTGCTTTGATCCTTCCTCTGCAGAGCATAGAGATTTCTCTCCCATAAATCTATATAAGACTAGAGTTATTATCAAATAACTATTTGCGTCAAAGACTTGTAAATACTGAATGTCATTGTTTTTAATTATAGAATTGCGTTAGGCTGTTGACCATTTTTTAACTTATGCGACAAAAAATCACTGAAAAAAAGCTGTACATTTTACGTGGAGTAGGTTAAGAGGGTGTGAATTTTCTTTTTCACTTATTTACAGGTTATTCTTTCTTACTGTTGTGATTAAGAAAAAACATATGATGCCAAATGGGCATTTCTAGGCCTATAAACTCTGTATATGCCATTAAAAAGAATAAGCTGAAGTAAATGGACATTTCTAGGTATGTAAATTCTGTAAATGCCATTAAAAAGGAAAAATTGAAGCTCCTGTCAATGCCATTAAGGTTCTGTTGGGTAAAACAAGCTGATTAGCTATCTGGTAGCAGTTGATAACTAATAGTTATAGTTTATAATTGATGATTTTTAGCTGATAAGTGAATTTGAGTGTTTGATAAATTATCTGTTACACTAGTTGATAAATACAAAATGACATAAAAAAATATTCTTAATTAAAAAAATTAGTGGTTTTATTTATTAAATTAATTTTTATTCAATAAAAATTAAAGTATTAACAATCAAATATAAAATATTTTAAATAAAAATATAAAATTAAACATAACACAAATATATTAAACACATGTATATAAATTTTGTAATAAAATTTAAATATTTAAAATAATAATATTGTAATTTGATTTTATATTTCAATAAAATGCATAATTTGTTCTCTTTTTTTCTCTCTCAAAATCCATTATATGCCTACTAATAAATAAATATATTTAATTATTTATTATTATATTTATAAAAATAACACATTAGTAATAAAAATTTAAATAATAAATAATTAAAATAATAATTTAAAAATAAAAAAATTAATGTATGTTAATAACTAAATAAAAGAATTAGAATTTGTTTGGTAAAAATAATGACAATTATTTTAATTTAAATTATAATAATATAAAAGATAAAAATGAGTTTTTGATAAAATAGAAAAAGTACAACTAGAAGAAAAAATCATAAGCTAAAAGATATAAGTTTAAAATCTATTTCAAATAGGTTTTGATAAGAAAAATTAAAAGTTAGTAAAAAAATTATAAGATACAAGTTAAAAGATAGTTATCAAATATAACTTTTTCATTAATATTAGTTGAAAAACTATAAACTATGAGCTCTTTTTTTTATTTTATCAAAAGAGATTTTAGAAATAAAAAATTGAAACTCTTTGGAGGAGACTAGACAGAGTTAACATAAAAAGTGAGTATTTAAAATTAGAGAACCAATCGGTGCTTCAGTTTCCTTCACACCATGTCAAACACTTGAACTTTCAATTCATATCCAAAAGTTGTTTGATACGTTACATTATAGTGGGTATGCTTCTGTTAAATTTAATTTTCCTTGTCAGTATTTCTTGTCGACGAACAAGGTTCGATTCCATATGCATTCCCCACCCTTACAATGCATAGATCACAAACTACAGGTTTCCTTGAATATATGCATTTTCCGGACTTTTGCATGTAGAGATAACAAACTCCCAAGCTTTATTGATGGGAATTTTTTTAATGTATTTTATATATTATTCCCTCCGTTTTAAAATAATTTTCGTTTAAGGTTTTTTTTACATATATTAAAAAATACAATGATATAGTTATAAAATATTGCACTTTTATTAAATTAGCTTTATTAATGTATTCGAAATAGTCTCTACATAATAATAATTATAGGACACAATTGAAAAAAATAGCAATTACTACTACATTAAAAAGTGAGAATGACATTCATTTTGAAACAATTTTTTTTTCTTAAAACGATAGTCATTTTAAAACGGAAGGAGTACTAGCGTAGCGTATCATGTGAAAATACTAAAATATTTTCAGATTTTGAAGATGTATATTCGAATGCATTTCAAACACACACGGCCTAGATCAATTATGAGTGACACTCCTCATGTGAAAATACTAAAATGTTTTCAGATTTTGGAGATATATATTCGAATGCACTTCAAACACACACGACCTAGATCAATTCTGAGTGACACTCTAGGAGTGTATGTTTTTCATCTGTAACTTACAGAAACATAAACAAAAGCAGAAAATCAAAAAGTTGTATTTTGACAAAATAAAATTACCACTCATAACATAAACTCAAGATTATATAGGTGATGTTAACATAAAATCAAACATTACATTTCAATATCCAAGTGGATGTTTCAACATCTTCACAATATCTTCGATCGATCTTGAAATCGTTACTTTCAACTTGATAAGAACCTTTGTTTTGAAATGAAAAAATGTATTCCACATAGCCTTTACATCGGCATCTGTCTTGAGCTCATAGGTGTTGAACTCAATCTTGCCTTCGTTGTTAATTGACGGTGAACGATACTTGAGCTTCACAATTTTTTGATTATCGCCATAACGTAGGAGGTTATGCACTTCGTATTGCAGATCTGCAAAAAGAAGTGTACTTTAAACCTTTTCCCGAGTGTTGCCTTGGAGAAGGAAACATTTGCGACATAGCAGGTGATATTTATTTGTTGCAACATTTTCTATTTATATGAAATAAAAAAAACAAAAAAGCTTAAATTTATAGAAGTGGTAGACAAATGTGGACATCAAAAATTTTATAATGTATCAGTGTTAGTTTCAGGGATGCATTTCTGATACCACCCTATTATCTTATTACGGAGATACATCTCCGGAATCTCTCATGAACCAGACATAAAATAGAACCTGTGTGTTTGTTTGGTAAATGACATTTTTTTTTGGAAAACATAAAAAAGTATTAAAATATTTAAAATTGTATATATTACACTTCGTTAATATTAATACACAATTACATACACTTAATTGTTGACAAAAAACTAAAACGAATCAAAATATTTATCATTGGCTAAATCTATAAGTATGACTGGTTGTCCCTTTGACTTTTGTGCATTTGATGGAATGTGGATGAGTCCCAAATATATCTCTAGCGATTACTCCATATCCTCGCACGTTCAGTACTTTGGAAGCATAACTGTTATCATCCAAAAATTTCAATAACTAATGCATTTCACTTCTATCTCCACTTAACGCCTTGTTAGTTTGGTACCGAATACTGTACACTTGCTTGATATATGATTTATTTTTGGTTCTTTTATATTTCAAAGTGGCAAGTATACTTTTTTATTAAGCCAAATTCAATGTCATGTCTGAAACACATTCCTTCTCTTCCAGCATGAGGCGACACACAATTGGATGACAGACTAACTTTTCACACAATTCATGGTTATGTAAACCATATATGACATTAAATCTCCATTTCTTATTTGCCAACATATAACCACGCAACTTAAAGGGACACTCACATTTTCTTGAACCGGTGTCATCTCGTTTAAAATTCCGGAGAGAATGTATATATTTCCACTACTTTTGCATGTCATTGTCACAAATACACCTCTTCTATCAGAGCCATTATCGGGCCTTCCGGTTATCACACCAAATCCAATTTTGGAGGCCTCTGTACAAATCCATTAAAGTATGTGATCACAAAATTCATACTCTTGCTCATTTTTTAAATTGGTTGCCAACATCTACCTCCTTCACAACAACACCTTTGACATCTGGAGACACAACAACTTTGAGAAAAACATTAGTGTGCATCATATCTAATGAAAACAGTTACAATAGAACACTCAATAAGTGCTAATACTATAATCAGAGCTGGAAAATAATAAGAAACAACTTTCAAAGATGGATCTCTGGACGAGTTCATATAGAATCTGAAGATGTATCTCTAGATAAAATGAACTTTTTTAGACTAAAAATGAGCTTAATGTGAGCAATGAGGTTTGATATAAATGATATTTACCTAGAATTTCAGCTTCTTTTGCTCATTTTGATGTGGTGAAACATAAGAATGAAGATTTGGAGTGAACATGTTGATTGAGAAGGGAAGAGTTTTTGGAAAAGTTTTGGAGTAGAAAACAAGTTGATTGTGTGATCATGCAGGTGAGTGTTTTGTCAACTAATTTTGAAAATGTATCTTCAAAAATATCTGACATGCAAAAGTGACATAAATTTTAAAATTCCGCCCCAAACCTCTGTAGAAGCATCTCAGGAATATCCACTGGGCTGCTAAAAAATTAATATATTTGTTGAAAATACCCAGAGATGCATCATTGGAATAGTTTTTTATTTTAATCTGGGTTGACACTCATTTGGTGTCTCATAAAAGTGGTGCATGGTACGTCCGAAGATGCATATTCAAAATCTGAGGGGCATTTTCAGTTTTCCATAAGGTGTTCTTCTACCCCATATGGTGGAATAAGAAATTCTCTTATTGAATACCAATAAAGTCCCTTAACAAACTACCACAACTAGCCAGGTCTACCCCCATTATTCTGCAAATCATCTTAGTTGAGCTTCACCCACCTCTCTCAATGTCTTTTCCGCTCAATGAAGATATTGGGATGTTAGTTACTGTTAGTTTTTTTTTAAAAAATACTATTCTCTTTTTTTCATTAATATAATTTTATTAATTTTTTTTAAAATTATTCAACTAACAAATTGAAATGAAGGAGATAATTTTTGTTGTGATATAATCTAAGTTAGTTAGTTGTTTGGTTAACAAGTTAGTTAATTTGTTATGCTAGTTACTTGGAGTGCAAGTAACCTACT